AAAAAAAAAAAAAAAAAAAAAAAAAAAAAAAAAAAAAAAAAAAAAAGAAAAAAAACAAACAAATAAACTGGACAGGCAATTATACACCAAGTTAAAATCCAGCTGGTGATAGACGGCGGCGTGTGCCATGAGATCGTCATCTTGTAATACTTGTATAGCTGCATATGCCTAAATCACTGTATTTGTCGCAGCTGTGGGACCGGATCACTAAGACGGGAAGAGGGAATATCATTCACCGATGATTCCGGGGAGGTGGGGGTGTTCGGGGGGGTGGGGAGGGGAGATGGGAAGAGGGGAACTTGTGTGACGGATATCACAGCGGCCATCTCTCGAACAAATATAAATACAGGGCTTCCAGTTTTACCTCCATTGTATAGGTCAGTGGCTGCGCAACCGTCTCAGCCGAAGAACTTACTCTGCTCTTGTGTATTGTAGGGGGGCGACTGTAACTGAAAAGTGTCGTTCCCGTGTGTCCTTTGGTGGGATGTCCGTTAAAATTGGAACCGTACAAAGAAAGAAAATTAGCAAATGGCCCCTGCTCAAGGATGACATGTATAAATCGTGAAATGGTCCCCTCCCCCCTCCCCCCCCCCCCCCCTGCAAAACAAAACAAAAAAAAAAGCAGTGCCGTTCCCGTGGAGATCTGACTAGCTGTGCTTCCACACCAGCCCCTCTCTCCGACACTTGCACTGCTTGTCGTGTCCAAGCGTGATGGCTATCGCAGTTGTTGATGACTTGCCCCTCAAATTGTATAGCCTGGATATATATTTTTCCTTTGCGCCAGAGGCATCATTTGGTATAATGCCGTCTTCGCTGCAAGTTTCCTCTCTTCTTCCTCCGCCTTCTGCTTGAATTCCCTCTCTCCTTTCGCCTCTGTGTCAGCTGAATGGTTCACCCACCTACATGAACTAGTTTCTTCTTGAGCCCTCCTACAGGTCAGCATTACATAAACTACCCTCAAAGTGGAGTTGTTGTTGAGGGCCAACAACGTTCTGAACGTGTCAGTGGCTGCCTCTTATCCCCCCCCCCCTTTTCTTTTCTTTTATTTTCTTTCTTTCTTTTTTTTTCTGTGTGTCAGACTGTCACTGGACCTTCACGATTGCTGCAGAGGAAATTATGCATCTTTTTTTTTTTYTTTTTTTTTTTTTTTTTTTTTGAGTCCAGGGTGTTGTAGAGGCCAGTTACTAGGCACACATTGATTGCCGGAGGTAGTCCTCCCTGGTCGCTCTGAGAAGACGAGGCCACCACCCATCCCAACCTCGCATCAATACTCCTAGCGTATCCCCTATCCCTAATATCCTACCTCAGTGTGACCAGCACTCAGGACCGTCACCCTACCAGTATCGGGGGGGGCTTGGACCGAACAGTAGCGACAGGCACCAGGGCTAGCGACCCTAGTCCTGGTTGAAGCATAGACGAACGAGCCTTGCCGTACGGGTACTTCGGACGCCAGGCTCAAGCAATCACCTATTGGCCCCTATGTGATCTCCACCCAACCCTTGTGTATACATATGGCTATATATATGGTTGTATGTTGCTCCCCACCACCATGGAGCATCCGCGAAGTGAGTACTGCGTACCGGTGAGAGGTGCTCCTATCACCTCCACTAGTACCTATATGAGTGTGTGTACCTTGTTATTTTTTTTTGTTAGGGAGAGTCAACCAGTGGTATTGGAGGAGACCTCGTCCGGCATCAACTACCCTCGACCAACCGCTGCTAACTCACTCCCTGAATGGGTCTACAGCCAACGAGAGTAGGACGCACCCCTTGATTCGACATTGGTTACCCTACAAGGCAGCCCTTCCCAACCGTTGGACTGCCACGGTATCACCATGCACCCCCAACCCCCATGCCACCCCCCGACCCATGAGAGCGACATTCATCCTCAACAGCTTACCCCATAGGAGAGCCACACATCCCCACCCAAAGCCATCCAGAGACTCATCCCTCGCGCATATGAGTAGTACAGTGTGTGCATATATATATGATATATGTGATAGATTCTGTATCGTGACTGTGTTATCTGGGGGGTATGTGTGTATATGTGATAGAGACAGGTCTCCCCCAAAGTACGAAACCGAACTCGAACCTGTGACCTACAGTATCAAACTGGAGGGTTCTACCACTTATACTATCGTAGGAAGTGGATATAGTGTGTGCGATATCTGGACTGGAGATCATCAGAGCGGCCAAAGCTGACAATGACCAGCGACGAACGTGAAGACTAGGCCAGCATACAATACCCATGGACTAATCCCCTGGGTGGTGCGCAGGCAGTGTCTGTAATAATACCATGCCTCAGCCCAGGGGAGTGTGTCCCCAGCCGTGCGTCATTCTAACGCCCTGCCGGTGTCCATGCGCGAGGCTGTGGAGTTTTGAACCAACAACCTTATACCACAATGCGCATTTCCAACCGGTGCTCTAACCACTGAGCTGCATCAACTGGTAGAGCATACTCACACTAGGCCTTCAAAGTCACAAAATGAGCGGCCACATAGAGTCCTCCTTTTACAAGGACTCAAATGTGGCCGCTCATTTTGCCATTTTGCGATTTCGAGGGCCTGGTGTGAGTATGCCCTTCTTGATGATTATTAGATAATGTAGGTTTGATGTGGACTATCCACTTTTTTGTCGTTTGACAGCAAGAACCGTTACTCAGACTGAGTCTCATTGAATTGGATGCTCCCACCTCTGTTGTTGTTGTTGTTGTTGGTTTTTTTTTTTTTTTTTTTTTTTAAAAAGGCCCAGTGCCCAAGGCTGATATTACCAATAAGAAGATTGAGGCCTGGGTCCTTACAGTCTACCCGGAGTGACCAAACCAAACCATACTTGCAAGCGCACGTCGTGCGGGCGGTTCCCTACGTGTGGCGCACGAGCCCAACCGATCCCGTGCGGCGCACAACGTGTGCGGGGAACGACCCGTCAGCCCCCTCAGGGGAAAAAAAAAGGCCGGGGTCGAAACGGTGGGTTTGAGTGCCCCCGCCAAAATTATAATCGAGATGAAAAAAAAATTACAGGAGTACTGCCTCACCTTGCTCCTCCCCTTCCTCATCCTCTATATCTCCTCCTCCCTTCTCCTTTTCGTCTCCTCATCCCTTCTCCTTTCCGTCTCCTCCTCCTCCTCCTGTTCGTCCTCCTCCTCCTGCCCTTCCTCATCCTCTCCGTACTTCCTCATCTTCCATGCCTCCTCGTCTCCTTCCCTTCCTCGTGTCCTCCCCTTCCTCACTGTCCATGTCTCCTCCTTCTCCCACTCGTCCCCTCCTCCTCCTGCCCTTCCTCTTTTCCCTCCGTCCATCTCTTCTCCTCCCCCATCTCGACTCCTCGTCGTCCTCCTCCTCCTCTCCATATCCCCTCCTCTCGCCATATCCCCATCTTCCTGTCGTACGCCCCACAGTTCCCCCTACCAAAATAGGTAAAATAATAATAAAAAAAATAAAAAACCTGCATGATTCTGCACAGGCACCCCCTGCACGGAACTCCGCACGGAACTCCGCACGAATGTGCGGCTCGTGCGGTTGCAAGTATGAGCCAAACATGCTGAGAACCGGGCTCAGCGTCCCTCGTATAATGATGATGATGATGATGAATTTCTGCTGATTCTATGTAAACTGTGAGATAATAATACTAATGATGATGATGATGATGATGATCTTCGACTGGAAAGCAGTATTGGGCATGAGGTTGCCCATCACAGTATGGTGGACAAGCTCCCACCTCTGTTGTACTAGTTTCCCTCGACGGAGAAATATGTGCTTTTGAAGGACAAAGAAAAAAGTGGGGGGAGAGGAATGGAAGATCTTTTGATATGCTAGAACTCCTATCAAACAGACCGTTTATGTCAAAAGTGCAAACACTGGGGGTGATGGAGGGACCATAGTAGTGATTGATGCCAGACATCACAAAGGGTCCTTTTTTTTTTTTTTTTTTTTTTTTTTTTTGCAAAACGCTCCATCTATTGGTGGGGAGCTTCACCTGCTGGAAAACGGGTCCAATGTCCCTTGGATATACAAATAGAGCACATAGTTATCAGAACAAGCAACCTCTTCACCTATAATAGGCGCCAGAAAACACCTTCCAAAGCTAGCTGCAAGCTCTACCCTTTCTTCCTTTTTCCACCCTCTTCTTGAAGAGAATGGAGAGATCAAAAAGAACTTTGAGAAGGATTAATGCCCATCACAAAGCATACCATTGCATGTCAACTAGGGACAAGGCCGACGGTGGAAAAGGGTCAGGAAAGAATTCTGGAGCTCTGAGAGTAGCTCCCGGAGGGAGAGAACCAATCCCTGAAATTGAGAAAGAAATCCCGTTTGAGACTTTCGCCCTGTTCCTCCTTTCCTGGCCATATCACTTCTCCCAGACATCACAAAGGGTCCTATGGAGAACACAGATTTGATTTGATTGACCATTCACACACGGCGTCCATCCAGGTCGCAGTTCCCAAGCCTCTGCCGGGTTACTTACAGTCGCTAACGAAAGTTACTAAAGACCTCCGTGAGAGCTGTCGGCGAGGAAACAGGAAACTTGCACATACTTTTTGGGAAAAGGCTCTCTGATGCCTACTACAAAGTTGTGGCATAAAAAAAAATAATAATAATAAATAAATAAATAAATAAAATTGTGGCGGAACTCCGGGCATGTTCCATTCTTTAGTGCCATGGATAAAGTAGCCTAGCCATCATCGTGTGTGGAAGACAGACAGACACAGAGAGAGAGAGAGAGAGAGAGAGAGAGAGAGAGAGAGAGAGAGAGAGAGAGAGAGAGAGAGAGAGAGAGAGAGAGAGA